TTTGCTTTTATTTTTATTTATATATTTTTTTGGCTTTTGGGGTCACACCTGGCGATGCTCAGGGGTTCCTCCTGGCTCTGCACTCAGGAATCACTCCTGGCGGTGCTCAGGGGACCCTGTGGGATGCTGGAGATCGAATCCGGGTCGGCTACTGTGCAAGGCAAACGCCCTCCCCGCTGTGCTATCGCTCCAGACCCACGCCCCTTTCTTTGAGGACCCTGGTTTTGGCTTTCATAACATTTTCCATGGCCCTCGCTCCACCGGTTTCCCCTTTTCACCCTTTCACCCATTCTGCAGCACCAACTCAAATACCCCCTCCTTCAGGAAGCCCCTCCTGATGTTCCCAAAGTCCTTGGTTTCTTCAAGACGGCTGTGTTTTCATGGTGGTGTTCCCCAGCACCACCCCAAATTATAGTCAGATCACGATCATGATCATCCTGTTGTTCGTCGATTGCCTCGAGCAGGCCCCAGTAACGTCTCCTTCGTCCTAGCCCTGAGATTCTAAAAAGTGCCACATTCAAGGCTCTTTCAGGGTCAGGAGAATGAGACCCATCATTGTTACTGGTATTTGGCATATTGGGTACGCCACGGGGAGTTTGCCAGACTCTGCCGTGTGGGCAGGTTACACTCGGTAGCCTGCCAGGTTGTCCAAAGTAAGAATGAGATAGTAAGATGTCGGGTATTTGGTATAATTTCTATTAATCTTATTACTTGTGTAAGCTCCCTAATAGACGTGGGACTTTTCCCACAGCTGCCTCCAAATCATTGATCAAAAATAAGTCATGCACAGGGGCTGGAGATAGGACAGTGGGGAGGGCGCTTGCCTGGTATGCGGCTGACCCGGGTTCAATCCCCGGCATCCTATAGGGTCCCCCGAGCACCACCAGGAGTGATTCCTGAGTGCAGAGCCAGGAGGGACCCCTGGACATTGCCTGTTGTAGCCCCCAAACCAAAAGAATAATAAAAAAAATCAATTTTCACTCACATGCGTGCTTCGATTGTGTGTGTGTGTGTGTGTGTGTGTGTGTGAGAGAGAGAGAGAGAGAGAGAGAGAGAGAGAGAGAGAGAGAGAGAGAGAGAGATTAAACCTCTCTGGTGGTGCTTTGCACTTTTGATTGTAACAGCCAAAGACAAGTTTTCTTGTGAGCTGGTCAGTTCCAGATTATAAACAGGAGACAGAGAAGGGGACACTCATTCTCAGCCCCTTGTTTTGCGTCTTCAGTACTATCCCTACTAACTAAAGCCTGGGGTGCTCCCTTTCACCAGTCTGGCTTCCTGCAAAGAGGAATTCTTACCATCAGCACCCCCCAATCAAAGAAGCTGTCCCTGGACCCAACGTTGTCAGATGTAAGCGATTTAAGGGAGGGACACCCACAGAAGTCAATAAACAGCTGATGTTTCTCATGTGTGAACTCGTGGGCAGTCTCCTGCCCCCGCGCCTGGCTGTCCTCACCGGGGGCCCCTTGGAGGGGGGCGGGTCGAGTTTCCCTCCCCACCCCTACCAGGGCTCCGGCAGCCGAAGACCTCCAGAATCAGCCACCACCATGCTGAGACCACTCTCCACATGCATGAAGGTACCGGCAGAGGAACAAAGGCATGTGGGTCCCAGGGCTGAGATCTCCCAGCCTGCTCGGATCGGGGCTGAGCATCCTCCACCCAGATCCTCCAAATTCCAGTAGGCGGGGGTCACACCCACCAACTGGCCTCCTGGTGCCGTGTAATCCCATCAATGGCCAAGACCCAGAGACTATAAAACCCAGCTCCCGGAAGCGCGTGGCCGAATTCGAGGCCACGCGACACCTTATTATCTCATTCTTACTTTGGACAACCTGGCAGGCTACCGAATGTAACCTGCCCACATGGCAGAGTCTGGCAAACTCCCCGTGGCATACCCAATATACCAAATACCAGTAACAATGATGGGTCTCATTCTCCTAACCCTGAAAGAGCCTTGAACATGGCACTTTTTAAAAATCTCAGGGCTAGGAAGAAGGAGACGTTACTGGGGCCTGCTCGAGGCAATCCATGAACAACAGGATGGTCGTGATCGTGATAATTTCTCATGTGCAAACAAAGCTTGGAGTAAAACGGTCAGGGGAATGCAGATCATTGAAAGAGATTTTAGGTTCAATGTTCATTGGACGTTGAATTTTTGGGGGGAAGAGAGGGAGTGGTTCATTTTCATGGGCATTTAAGTTATTTGTACCGGTAGGTGGCTACAGAATCCATGACATCTCATTGACATCATTTTCATTTGGCGTTAGGGTGTATCTTACAACAAAATCCCAAACATCCTGGACAATCAGAAAAGCGCCTGCCGTAGAGGCAGACTGGAGTGGGGGTTGGGGGTGATGGGAGGGAACCTGGGGACCCTGGTGCTGGGAAATGTGCCCTGGTGGAGGGGCGGGTGTGGCAACACTGTATGACTGAAACCTAAGCTTTGTGAGGGTTGATCTCGCAGTGATTCAATAAAAAAAAATTAAAAAACAAAAGTAACAACAACAACAAAAAAGTTTCAAAGTCAGGATGGCATGGAGATTTAGGGGTGGAGCTGACCGGAATAAAAGGAACCACGGGATTAAAACTTCAGGGGGTGGGCAGGAAAAATGCCAAGTGAAGTACGCTTTGGAATAGGCCAATGGGACGGCATTGGGAAGGGGCTCGTTTTCACGTGAGAAATAACTGTTTTGGTGCCTTGGCGGAGGGGAACACTCGATCCTCAAAGGCTCAGCTGGCTCATCTGGCCCTTGGCCATCAGAATTGATTTGGGGGAGTGGCGGTGGGAGCGAAAGGCCTCAAATTTTCAAAGCAAGATAGGGAACTGCATCTGCATCTGATGTTGGTTTGACTTCATTTTGGAGAGTCAGTTACCACCAGAAGGAATGTGGGTCTTCTCAACTCCTCCGAGGGAGATGGTGTTACGGAGAGAGATGAGAGTGTTGGTAAAGCATCAGTGAGAAGGAGAGCGGGGAAAAGATGGGGGGAGATTAAGAAATAACGGGGAGGTCAAAGGTGAAAATCAGAAAGCAGAAGAACAGGCTGGGAAGGCGGGGAAGTAGGATCCGGGGGTCTGCCCCAGGAGACAAAAAGAAAGTGATACAATCCAAAGCTCTGCCCGAAGCAAAATGCTACATCTGAAAGAATTCTGATTAAAAAAGAAAAAGGGAAAATATACTGCAAAATATTTATTTGGTAAAAATAATTTCGTCATCTATACAGAACTGAATAAAAAGTACAACACATTATTTTTGCGTCTCTGCAATATTGCATCCAGTACAACTTGCAACCTGGGGCGAGTGTTCTAGAAAACGGTCACATCACAGAGACACAAAACTGAAGTGAGACATACAGAAGTCACACCGGGTCCCCTTGGGTACCATGAGCACGGAATTCAGTTCCAGGGGGATAGTGCTTTGGTCATGTCAATAGTTGGTTCTGCAATTCATTTTCTTTTTGAAATCTGACGCCCCCTGGCACACTGCTCCCCTCGTTGCTGAGTCAACGATTCTCCAGGTAGCAAAAACAAACACAACACCACAAAATGACCCAAAGTGGAGGCTGCGATCGCATCTCACCCCACCCCCAACCCGTTCCCGTCTTCAGCTCGAGATCATTTTCTAGCTAACCAGAAAGGAAGCTGAATGGGGAATCAGCGATTCGAATGTTCTGCATTCTCTTCGATGGAATACGTTGATTTTGCGGCTTGACAGGCTTCATAAAGTCTGGCCTTCCAGAAAAGTCTGCACCCTCCCTGAGAGCTGCCGACTTCTGCTTTCAGAATAAGGTAATAGAACTCGCTTTAAAGTGCTCTTCACACATATCAGCAGCCACTGGGTAGATTGCATTTAGAATTAAATATATATAAAGGAACATTCCCCCCTCCCTACCCCCCGCCCCCAAGTAACTTAGAAATGGAATCACGAGCAATTCTTATTTTACGAGAATATTCAAGAGGACCCACCTTTGGAAACAAAGGTGGGTTTCCTGTTACAAAATTCAGGAATCGAATCTCCCCCATCCCGTTGAAATCATCCAAAAGAGGCTCAATTTTATGATACCTGGGAGCAATTCAATTCCCGGTGATATTGTTATCTTGGCTTCCAAGATCACATAATAGCAACATTCAATTCATAATGGGGATGAATGCGTTTGAAGAGAAAAACAAACCCAAAAATAGATTTCCCCATTTCATGTCGCAAAAGGGGCTCACTGTTCACCGTGGCATTAACAGTCCTTCGTAACGAAGAATAAAAGACAAACCGACCTCAGGCCTGGAGCCACAGTCCAGCCGGGAGGGCGTCTGCCTGGCACGAGGCTGACCCGGGTACAATCCCCGGCATCCCATAGGGTCCCCCAAGTACCACCAGGAGGAGGGATCCCTGAGTGCAGAGCCAGGAGTAACCCCTGAGCATCGCCGGGTGGGACCCTAAAGGACTAAAAAAATAAAACAAAAAAAAAACCGACTTCAAGTTTTTTGGTGTGGTCGCTTAGATTACTGGCAGGCTTCAAAACTTGCCTGATTTTTGAACTGAATGGGCTCCTCTGGGAAGCATATGAATAATGCAAACACGTCCTAAGGAAACTGCATCGTAGGAATGAGACTGTTCATACAATGATCAAAAAATAATAATAATAACTTAAGATGAGACACACACACACACACACACACACACACACACACAATGCTCTGAGGTCGGGATGACAAACCAGAACAAAGACAGCCGGGGCACGTAGTGTCTGTCCCCCCCACCGTGGACCCAGCAGAGCACTGGGAAGAAGAGCAAAGGGGAAGGGAAGACTGAGCCCTGGGGACCCCCTCCGGGTCAGACCCCCCAGTGTCGTGCGGCCCCTCTGCCCGCAGCCCCGCCCAGAGTCCAGCCAAGACCCCAGCTCCACACAGCTGGGCCGCCCCCAGTAGTGGCTGCCTGACCGCTCAGTTTGGAAACTCAAGTTGACTTCTGAGTCATGGGGGGATGGGATGGAACATCATCCTTAAGTGAGCACTGCAAAATGAGTCCAGGAGATCAACGTGGCAGGATCCTCCGAAGAGTACGAAGCTCAGGAACTGAGAGGTTGACTCGGAAAGTCGCTGCTTGGAAGCCACGAAACGTGTCCCTCAAAGGTCCATCGACACCTTCCACCGACAGAGAAACAGCAGCGGTGCTGGGCCGAGGATGTTGTCATTCTCCCTTAGGGAGTTGCCGCTGGAGAACTTGGCCCGGGCCCCTCCCGCTGCCGGTACTTCTTCATGACGCTGACGGCACCGCTGGCCAGGAAGACCACGGCGATGAGGGCGAAATAGCCGGCGTAGATCAGGAACTGAAGGGGAAGTCGTGATTGGGAGATTATCGATCAGAGGGTCTACGGTATCTAGGCTTATCTGCAGTCACGACAGATGTGCCTACTTGCATTTGCATAAATATGTTTTCAACTCTGGGACCTAAAATATATTGCATTAACTTTTAAAATTATTATTATTGCATTAACTTTTTAAATTATTTATTTTATTATTATTTATTATTAATTAAATTATTGCATTAACTTTTAAAATTTTTTTAAAATAATTTTTTGCTTTTTGGGTCACACCTGGCGATGCACAGGGGTTCCTCCTGGCTCTGCACTCAGGAATTACTCCTGATGGTGCTCAGGGGACAATATGGGATGCTGGGAATCGAACCCGGGTCAGCTGCGTGCAAGGCAAATGCCCTACCTGCTGTGCTATCACTCCACATTATTTTGTTACTCAGGTCTCATTCCATATAACCTCTCCTGTCATTAATTAAAAAAATTCTTGGGGCTGGAGCAATAGTAAAGCGGGTAGGGTGTTTTCCTTGCACGCGGCCGACCTGGGTTCGATCCCCAGCATCCCATAGGGTCCCCTGAGCACTGCCAGGAGGGATACCTGAGTGCAGAGCCAGGAGTAACCCTTGTGCATCACTGGGTGTGACCAAAAAAAGAACAAAAAAAAAAAAAACATTCTTGCAGATATACAAGTTGTTTGAGGACATGCGTGTGGGATGGGGGACAACTTTGGGGGGAAATGTCTCCTCAATTTCGGAGGCCACGAGGCCTCCCAGACCTACGAGGCTCCAGAAGAGACAAAAAGGGGGTGAAGCAAGGCACAGCTCAAACCACTGGGCATCCCGACCCCTGCTATCAGCCTATCAGCGGCAGGAGTCACAAAGGACCAAGGTGGCCATGAGCTATCCTAAGGGATTCACAGCACTTCCGGGGGATGCTGACAAGTGACAGACCTCGGGGGTAGATGTTCACCGGCACAGCCAGTCACCGCCACGACAGTATTTGCGACAGGATTCGCATTTGTGTTGGGGAGTATCCCCAGAAGATTCTGGCTCTGCACTGTCCCGGCTGAGCTGAGCGATTCTCTCTGCGCCCAGCAGGGGGCAGTACAGGGCCGGGCGGTCAGGCGTGGCCTATTCAGGGATTTCTTTGCCCAAGAAACCGGTTTTTCCTGCAGTAACTTGGTTTGTCAACATCACCAGTGAAAAACAACTTGCTAAAAACCTACATGCTGTTTGGACAGATGCTATCTCCAGCAGTTCCTCAAAGTATTGGATAAACCCTTTCCACACACACACACACACACACACACACACACACACACACACAAATTTGGTGAGGGGGGGCTGGAGCAAAAGCACAGCGGGGACGGTGTTGGCCTGGCACGCGGCCGACCTGGGTTCGATCCCCAGCATCCCATAGGGTCCCCTGAGCACCGCCAGGCGTGATTCCTGAGTGCAGAGCCAGGAGTCAGCCCTGAGCATCGCCAGGTGGGACCCCCCCAAAATAAATACATGAATAAATAATAAAAAAAAATAATAAAAAAGGGGTGGGAGAGAGAGAGCCGGGAGCACTGCTTTTTCCTTCCCTCTCTCTCTGAGATCTCTCCGGGGGATGCAGTATCGCCCTGCCCTGCCCCTGTGCGTGTCGCTCACTCAGGAGATGTGGGAGAGTGGACAGAGAAGGAGTGACTGTGGCTATGGGGGGTTGGGGGAGGCTCTTTCTGACTCAAGTGTCCTTCCTGGCCAGGGACAGGCCAGCGCGGGCCCTCGGCGAGCTGCCTGGGATGCGGCAGGTGCCACTATGGGGGGCCTGGGGGGCGGGGAACAGCCTTCACATGGTCTTCGGGTGTTTGTGATGGGATTTTCTCCGGGGGTGACCCCTCACTGGTTGATTCTGTTCATTTGGATGTGTGCCAGTCTCTGGTGTGAGAGGGGATGTCACTGGTGGGTTTGATTTGCGTCTCCCTGAAGAGTAGTGATGACGGGCGGGGGGAGGGGGTAGTTGAGACAGAGGAAGGTCCATTATGACAGCATGAGTTGGAAATGGTCACCCTTGGACAAGAACTGAGTGTTGAAAGGAGTAAGAGGATGTTCAGGATAACCTTTCAGAATCTATATTGCAAACGATCACTGTCACTGTCACTGTCCTCCCTTTGTTCATCAATCTGCTTGAGCGGGCACCAGTAACGTCTCCATGGTGACAATTGTTACTGTGGTTTGGCATCTCGACTACGTCACAGGGAGCTTGCCAGGCTTTGCCGTGAGGGTGAGATACTTTCGGTAGCTTGCCGAGCTCTCTTGCCGGGGATGGGCAGGGCTTGGGGTCTGGAGAGAGACAGAGAAGAGAGGGAGAGAGAGGCAAGGAGAGAGAGGGAAGAGAGGGAGAGGAAGAGAGAGGGGGAGAGAGAGAGTGTGTGTGTGGGAGAGAGAGAGAGAGAGAGAAGACAGAGACAGAGGGAGAGAGATGGAGGGAGAGGGAGAGAGAGGGAGGGAAGAGAGAGGGAGAGAGGAAGAGAGGAAGAGAGAAGGAGAGGGAGAGAGGGGGGAAGGGAGACAGAGACAGAGAGAGAGGGAGAGACAGAGGGAGAGAGATGGAAGAAGAGGGAGGGAGAGAGAGGGAGAGGGAGAGAGGGGGGGAGAGAGAGAGAGAGAAAGAGAGAGAGAGAGAGAGAGGTGCCTGTCATAGAGGCACAGGCTGGGTTTGGGGGTGGTTCGGGGGTGATGGGAGGGAACCCGGGGACCCTGGTGCTGGGAAATGTGCCCTGGTGGACGGACGGGTGTTGGAGCACTGTAGGACTGGAACCCAACCATGAGCAGTTTTATAATGCTCCATCTCATGGTGAATCAATAAAATAAAAAATCTTAAAACAATTTAAAAAAATAAGTAATGAAGTAACATATTTAAAAAAAAAAACTCCCTCAGTGGGTGGGCAAAGGACCATTTCAATAAAGGAGGGAGGAGGGAGGGGACCTGGGGAGGGGAACAGCATCTCTGAGCCGGGAGACGGGCTTCCGGGCCCGGAACTGGTGAGCAGATGAAGGAGGAGAGTGAGGGTCTGGCCTGGAAGGAACCAACAGTACAAACGGCTCTTGCACACGCTTCTGGGCGTCTTTCAGCAGGTGACAGTCCCATTACTGAAAAATCTCAGAACTTGGGGCCGGAGCAATAGCACAGCGGGGAGGGTGTCGGCCTGGCTCGCGGCCGACCTAGGTTCAATTTTCAGTGTTCAATTCCTGAATTGAACACTTATGGTCATCACTTGATCACTTTATCCCCCGTTATTCATCGATTTACTCGAGCGGGCGCCAGTAACGTCTCCATCCATCCCGGTTGCGTGCTAGCGTAGCCCAATGGCATCTGTTCGTTCTAGGAACATGCAGAGCCTCAAACCGATCATTCAGGGTCTTGACGAAGAAGTCTGTCCATCTTGTAGCTTATGTCCTTATGGTCATAAGCTCGTATTAATAACTACTGACGGAAAAGGTAAACAGGGCAAGTTAGGACTTCTCTAATTCTATGACAGATACAACTCGGGATTCATGTACCTTGGGGGGCCGGAGCGACAGCACCAATGGGAGGGTATTTGCCTTGCATGTGACCGGCCCAGGTGCAATCCCCGGCATCCCAGAGGGTCCCCTGAGCACCGCCAGGAATATCCCTGAGCGCAGAGCCAGGAGTCAGCCCTGAGCATCCCCAAGCGTGTCCCCCACCCCCCCCTAAATAAAATAAAATAAAATAAAATAAACAAGAAAAAGAAAACACTCAGGATGGGAGAGGAACTGCAGGCAGGAGGGAACTCGGGCGACTTAAGGGTTTCCACGGTCCAATGCGGTTTCCTCAAGCCCTGTGGATGGAGCCCACCCTGCAGCCTCTCACCTGCGTGGATATATCCAAGCCCAGGCCACTGGCGTCGACCACGATGACCGTCAGCAGCGTCTGCAGTGCCAGCGCGATGAAGGTGTTGACGCCAAACACCAGGGCGTAGCGCTCCATGCTAAGGCTGGCCGCAATCTGGAAACTGTGGGGAGGAAGGGGAGGGCGTGGGCGGGGGTCAGTTCCAGGTCTGCCCCATCAGTCAAACATGCAGAATAACCCCTCCCGTTCCCCTTCTGCTGCTTTCCAACCGCCAAGTGAGAAGCAGTTCCTGCTGAATCGTGTTGGTTGCAGGCACACATTTGGAAGGGCAACAAGGACGAAGGGAAGAAAAGCAGGAAAGCAGGAATGTTACCGTGCTTCCTCCTAGGGGCTGCTTTTCACAAAGAAAGAAAAAGGAAATTTCATGGGCCAGGCCAATACTTAGAATACAACGGGCATTTGGACGTGGCCCACCTGGGTTCGATCCCCGGCATCCCACAGGGTCCCCCGAGCACCGCCAGGAGTGATCCCTGAGTGCAGAGCCAGGAGTCAGCCCTGAGCATCGACAGGTGTGACATAAAAAGTACCCCCCCCACACACACACACAAAGAAAAAAAAAAACAGAAAATAAAATAAAGGAAAAAAAATTCAGTTTGTGAGGCTGGAGAGATCGTCCAGCAGGGAGGGAGCTAGTCTTGCACTTGGCCAACCTGGGTTCGATCCCCGGCATCCCATAGGGTCTCTGAGCAGAGCCAGGAAGCCACCCCCTGAGCACTGCCAGGTGTGGCCCCAAAACAAACAAAATAATTTTTAGTTTGAAAAGAAATCACGGGGTCAGAGAGATGGTACAGAGGTGGGAATTTGCCTTGCCCGACATGGGTTCGATCACGATGGTCCCTTGAGCACCACCAGGAGTGATTCCCTGAGGAACAGAGCCAGGAGTCAGCCCTGAGCACAGAGCCGGGAGTCAGCCTTGAGCACGGAGTCAGGAGTCAGCCTGAGCACAGAGCCGGGAGTCAGCCCTAAGCACGGAGCTGGGAGTGATCCCTGAGCACAGAGCCAGGAGTGAACCCTGAGCACAGAGCCAGGAGTCAGCCCTGAGCACAGAGCCAGGAGTCAGCCCTGAGCACAGAGGCAGGAGTCATCCCCGAGCACAGAGCCGGGAGTCATCCCTAAGCACAGAGCCAGGAGTCAGCCTTGAGCGCGGAGCCGGGAGTGACCCCTGAGCACAGAGCCAGGAGTCAGCCCTGAGCACAGAGCCGGGAGTCAGCCCTGAGCACGGAGTCAGGAGTCAGCCTGAGCAGAGCCGGGAGTCAGCCCTAAGCACGGAGCCGGGAGTGATCCCTGAGCGCAGAGCCAGGAGTCAGCCCTGAGCACAGAGCCAGGAGTCAGCCCTGAGCACAGAGCCGGGAGTCATCCCTAAGCACAGAGCCAGGAATCAGCCTTGAGCGCAGAGCCGGGAGTGACCCCTGAGCACAGAGCCAGGAGTCAGCCCTGAGCACAGAGCCAGGAGTCAGTCCTGAGCATCGTTGGGTGTGTGCCCCAAACAAAGAAACAACCTCCACCCCCCAAGAAAAAAAATAGCAAGAAAACCAAACCAGAAAAAAACAAGAAAGGAGCAAGTCGGACCTGGCCCGTGTCCGGCTCTGGACGCAGGTACCTACGTCGCTATGGTGATGAGCAGCATGTAGATAATGCGGAAGACCACGTAGCAGGCGTAGCACACCCAGATGTTGTTCGCCGTGTCCATGACGTACACGGCGGCGGCGATCAGCAGCGAGAACAGGGACAGCGCCACCTCCCCCCAGGTGGACCAGGAGATCTTGACGTAGCCCACGGCAAACACAGCGACGGCCCCTGGAGGGGAAAGTGGGGAGGAGTGACCAGCAGTCTCGGCCTGCTGACCTCTCAGCTGCATCCTTAGAGGACACAGGGACAGCATCACTGGGTTTTTGGTTTGTTTGTTTTTTGTCTTTTTGGGTCCCACCCGGCGATGCTCAGGGCCAACTCCTGGCTCTGCACTCAGGAATCACTCCTGGTGGTGCTCGGGGGACCCTATGGGATGCTGGGGATCGAACCTGGGTCCACTGTGTGCAAAGCAGATGCCCTACCTGATGTACTGTCTCTCAGACCCTGATCTATCTCATTTATTTTTTGTTTTGTTTTGTTTTTAGGTCACACCCAGCAATGCTCAGGGGTTACTCCTGGCTCTGCACTCAGGAATCACTCCTGGCGGTGCTCGGGGGACCCTAGGGGATGCTGGGAATCGAACCCGGGTCGGCCGCGTGCCAGGCCAACGCCCTCCCCGCTGGGCTATCGCTCCAGCCCCTCGTTTTTAGTTTGACCTCTGGGCCCCACCCGGAGGTGCTCAGGGCTCTGTGCTCAGAGAGCACTCACTCCTGGCGGGGCTCGGGGACCCGATGGGGCGTGGCGGACGCTTGCTTACCCAGCAACGTGGACACGGCCTCCACCCCGCCGTTGTAGATGGCCGCTTGGCGGGACGGCACCACCTGCTCCCACAGGCCCTGCGTGTAGTTGACCACCTGGAAGTAGCCGCAGGTGGACAGCGCCCACCACACCGACCAGCACAGCAGCGGGCGCGAGGAGTAGCAGGCGAGGAAGTCGTCCCACAGGACCTTCAGCGCCAGCAGCTGAGCGGGGCCGGCCTCCTGGATGGATGGACAGCGACGGGAAGAGACGTCAGGCGGCGGGAAGGGGCCCCGAACCAGCGCTTCGGAGGGTTTCCTTGTTGTTGTTGTTTGTTTGTTTTTGTTTTGTTTTTGTTTTTTTGCTTTTTGGGTCCCACCCGGCGATGCTCAGGGCTGACTCCTGAGCTCTGCACTCAGGAATTACCCCAGGCGGTGTTGGGGGACCCTATGGAATACTGGGGGTCGAACCCAGGTACGAGTCTGCCATGTGCAAGGCAAATGCCCTCCCCGCTGGGCCATCGCTCCAGCCCCACCCAGTGCTTCTGAGGGTTCGGGAAGAAGCGTCACCTCCGAGCACCAGCCAGCGTTCCTGGCCACGGCTGGCACCCTGGGCTCCGAACTGGAGGAGGGACAGGTCAGGTAAGGGGGCAAGAGACGGCACGGTGTTGTGTACATTATCAAAAAAAAAAAAAGCAAATAAATAAAATTTAGAAATAAAAAAAACTGAAAAAGCCACTGTAACCCAGACCCAGAGAGGCCCCGGGCACAGCCAGTATGGCCTGCCGGAGGGACAGCAGGTCCTTGCGAGTCTCATTTCCGCGTTGACACACTGGGCCGACAGGACAGGGGGCCGCCAGGGAGACCATCAGAGAGAGCCACAGGGAACCCCGAGACTCATTCATGCATCCACGACAGAGACGAGCCTGTGTGGGCCCCAAAAGTGGGTGCTGACTCACTCCCTAAAGGATCTGTCAGGGGACAGGAGTGACAGCACAGCGGGGAGGGTGTTGGCCTTGCAAGCGGCCCACCCGGGTTCAATCCCCGGCATCACCTTGGGTCCCCCAAGCCCCGCCAGGAGTGATTCCTGAGTGCTGGGCCAGGAGTCAGCCCCTGAGCATCGCCGGGTGTGGCCCCCAAAGAAAAAAGTGAAAAAAAAAAAATAAATAAAATAATCAAATGAAGTGGGTAGGGCGTCTGCCTTGCACGCAGCCAACATGGCCGACCCGAGTTCGATTCCTCCGCCCCTCTCGGAGAGCCCGGCAAGCTACCGAGAGTATTCGATATGCCAGACACAGTAACAACAAAGTCTCCAATGGAGACGTTACTGGGCCCGCTCGAGCAAATCGACGATCAACGGGAGGGCCTTTAATCAAATGAAGTGAGCAGGGGCTGGAGAGACAGGACAGCGAAGAAGGTGCCTGCCGTGCAGGGCGGCTGACCTGGGTTCAATCCCTGGCGGGGGCATCTGGGCGGGGCCAGGGGTGACCTCAGCACGGAGCCAGTCTGAAGCGGGAGCCGTCCCCGCCGGGGTGAAACAGACTCGCCGTCCCCAACATGAACCTTCTGTCAGGTCCAGGGAACCAACGTGGGTGAGAGGCTGAGGTCCGTGTCACCAGAGGCCGCGTCTTCCTATGAATGCCATGCGTGTGCCGCATCCCACACGTGTCCCAGGATCCACATGCCACATCCCATGCCACACATGTGCCACGCCCCAGGTGCCACATCCCGTGTTTGTACCACATGCATGCCACGTCCCACATGCCACACATGTGCCATATCACATGCCCCATGTGCCACATCCCACGCTTTGTGCCACATGCGTGCCGCGTTTCACATGCCACGTCCCAAATGCCACACATGTGCCGCATTCCATATGCCACACTACATGCCACACGTGCCATGCCCCATGTGCCACATCCCACACTTGCGCCAGATGCGTGCCCACATGCCACGCATGTGCCACGTTCCATATGCCATGTCATGTGCCACACATGTGCCATGCCCCCACATGCCACATCCCACACTTGCGCCATATGCGTGCCACATTTCACATGCCACATTCCACATGTCATGCAGGTGCCACGTCCCACATGCCACATTCCACATGCCATGTCATGTGTCACACATGCACCATGCCCCATGTGCCACATCCCACGCTTGCGCCACATTCCACATACCACACACGTGACACGTCCCATATGCCATGTCACGTGTCACACATGTGCCACGCCCCATGTGCCACATCCCATGTTTGCACTACCTGCATGCCACATGCCACACATGTGCCACGTCCCATATACCACACCACATGCCACATGTGCCACATCCCACGCTCGCGCCACATGTCACATGCCACGTCCCACATGCCACGCAGGCGCCACGCCCCAAGTGCCACGTCCCCCTGGTTCTCCCCAGAGCAGCTGCCGCGAGGGCCACTTCCGGCGGCAGAACTCACCGGCTCTCGCAGCGGGGCCTCCTCCAGGTTCAGGGGCATTTTGGATTCGATGTCCTCCCAGCCGGGCAGGTGGTGGCCAGTGGACGGGTCCGGGACGAGGCCCCCGTTCTGGACCTTGATGCCATTCGGGCCCTGGCGGGCAGAGGGACTGTGGTGGAAGAAGAGGCTCTTCTGGGGCATGGGCAGGAACCAGGCCACGGCGAAGGCCACGGAGACGCAGGTGAGGGAGATGACGTTGAGGCTGAACAGGGACCAGCCGGCCACGGAGAACAGGATCTGCCCGAGCACGGAGCCCACGGTGAAGCCCACCAGCGTGGCGCTGCGGCAGTAGCTGGTGACCTTCTGGTACATGCTCGGGTCCACCACGCTGTAGATGTACGAGTAGTAGGCCACCTCCGTGGCCGTGGCCACGCCGTAGAAGAACTCCAGGAACTGGATGGCCAGCAGGCCCCGCGCGTAGAGCAGCATGAACCAGGTGACGATAAGGCTGAGGCCCTGCAGCAGGACCACGGGCTTGTAGCGGAGGTAGTCGGTGGCCAGGAACACGGGGAAGAGCAGCACCAGGTACGAGTAGGTCCACACCGGGTAGATCTCGTTGAACACCTGCGGACGGAGCCCGTGAGCGCCCGCCGGCTCAGACCTCTTTGGGTGCTGGTCTGGGACGGGGACGCACGCGCCCTGAGAAGGGGGGAGGCTGGGAGGGAGACGAAAGCAGGGAAGGGCCGGGGGGGTCCTTCCAGGAGGATCCGGCCTGTCGGCAGGCCCTGACCAGCAGGCCGCGATTGCGGGTGACTGTGTGACCGTGTGTGACTGTGTTATCGGGTGTGACGGTGTGTGATTGTGTGACCATGGGTGACTGAGTGTTACTCTGTGACCATGTGTGACCGTGTGGCTCTGTGTGACTGTGTGACCACGTGTGACTATGTGCGACTGTGTGACTCTGGCTGTGTGACTGTGTGACTACATGGCTATGGCTGTGTGACTTTGTGTGACTGTGTGACCCTGTGTGACTGTGTGTGGCTGTATGACCATGTGTGACTGTGTGTGGCTGTGTGACCATGTATAACTGTGTGATCATGTGTGACTGTGTGACTCTGGTTGTGTGCCTGTGAATGACTATGTGTGACTGTGTGACCATGTGTGACTTGTGACCATGTGTGACTGTGTGACTTTGGCTGTGTGCCTGTGAATGACTATGTGTGACTGTGTGACCATGTGTGACTGTGTGGCTGTGTGATTCTGGTTGTATAACTGTGTGTGACTTTGTGTGGCTGTGTGTGACTGTGTGGCTGCGTGACTGGCTGTGTGACTGTGTGTGTGTCTGTGAATGACGACGTGTGACTGTGTGTGACTGAGGCTTTGTGACTAGATGTGACTGTGCCTGTGTCTGTGTGACCACGTGTGACTCAGGCCGTGCTGCCGTGCCTGTGTGTGACGGTGGGTGACTGGCCGTGTGACTCTGTGTATGACTGTGTGTGAGCATGTCTGACGACTCCCAGGCGACCTTGGTTCTTGAACCCATGCCCACACGCTTGTCTTTTTCTTCGATTTGCCTGTTCATCAAGTTTCTGTCTGAAAGAGTCAACACAGAATCTGTCTCCGACACACAGGTCTTGGGGCGGGGCAACAGCACAGCGTGGGGGGTGGGACTGATCACAGAGCCAGCAGGAAACCCGGGCACCGCCAGGGGTGACCCCCAAACCCAAACCAAACCCAACGTACAGGTTTAAGACCTGACAACAGGGGCTGGAGCGACAGCACAACAGGTAGGGTGTTTGCCTTGCACGCGGCCGACCCGGGTTCGATCCCCAGCATCCCATAGGGTCCCCCGAGCACCGCCAGGAGTGATTCCTGAGTGCTGAGCCAGGAGTCAGCCCTGAGCATCGCCGGGTGGGACCAAAAAGCAAAAAAATAAAATAAAATAAAACCTGACAACACGGGAGCACTTTCCCTGATTCTGCCTGATCTAAGAGGAACATTCTCAGGAAGAGCCGGAAGAGGAAATGCCGCCCCCCCCACCCCAACCCACCCCCCACCACTGAAGGAGGTTAAAGAGCGTCACCAACTGCACCGACCATTCGACCATTCGTGTGGATCATTTGTCTAACTGTCCTTGAGCAGGGCCTAGGGCTGGTTTGCTGGTTCCGGTGGGTCGGGTTTGCCAACCCTAGAGGGAGATCCTGTCCCCCCCGCCCCCCCGGCAGAACCAGCCAGAATGCCGGGGTGGGGGCCAGCCCTGCGCTGAGCCGGGGCTGTCTCCCTGCCCTCCTCTTCCTCCCCCATTTGCAATAACCCACGCCGCTGTGTTCATTCATTACACAATCCATCCGCAAGCCGGCACCTGCCCCGGCGGGCCGGCCGGCCACCTCGGCCTTGGCCGTGTCCCAGTGTCCCCTAGACACGGCTGACCGTGGAAAACTTTCTTCTGATCAGACTGGGCCTTGTGGTCACAGCCCCAGCCAGGAGGCACGTGACCAGACGGATCAGCTTTCAAATATCAACGGGGGGGAGGGGGGGCGGGGAGGTGAAAAGAACACACACACACACACACACACACACACACACACCCCTTTCTCAATGCCACCACCGCCTGCTTCTCCTTAGATAAGCCGGGACAAGCACGTGGAGATGTATGTCACAGAGCATGGGACTTTGCTTAGGCCAAGCCAGCCACCAGCAATCTTGTTTCTGCTGGGGGGGAGGGGTATCCCTGGGGGAGGGGGGTCTCAGCGCACCCTCTCCCCGTTGACCAGAGAGAGTCCCGTCTTCTGGGGAAAGCAGGCTGACCCCCAAGTGCTCTCTCTCTCTCTCTCTCTCTCTTTTGGCTCACACCAGCAGTGCTCAGGGCTGACTCCTGGCTCAGTGCTCAGGAGACCGTATGGGGTGCCGGGGAATTGCATGCAAGGCCCTCCCTGGTATCCCAGCCAGGCAAACACCCTTGAATGTCAAGGACCAAACGACACGACACGCAGAGTCTCATGTCAGCCCTACAGGGCCCTGGGCGGCCACCCCAGAGAGGGGCGTCGGTGTGCCCCTCTTTCATGCAGAGAGAGAGCTGAGGGCGGTGGAACTTTGCAGGCAGGAGACCCCGGGTTCGACCCCCTGCACATGGTCAGGAGTTGAAGGGGGGCTGGTCACAGCCTTCCGCAGGGCCGGGTGCCCTTCCGACCCCAGGCCGGGCAGGCCAAGAGCGAGACGCCAGGATGGACTCTGTTCCCGGAGCTCTCAAAGTCCTCCCTCGCAGGGCCGGCCGCGGTGAGGCTCACGCAGGCCGCGTGAGGGTTCTCTGTGTCCTTCAGGAAGGACCGTCCGCCCAGCCCGGCTCTCAGCCCGGGTGGCACAGACGGAGGGCAAGGGGCTGGCCGGGACCCCCCACAGCCTTGCCCAAACAGCTCCCCAGGCCCAGCGAAGGGTCCCTGGCTCCTGCCTGGGAAAGAGACCCCAGTAACACGCCGCC